TGGTATTGGGAATTGAACCTAGGACCTTTGTACCTTACTCTCTTTATTTTTTATTTTGAGACTAAGTTGCTGGTGGCTGGGCTCAAACTTGCTATACTGCTGGTTGAGCCTCTTAAGTAGCTGCGATTACAGATGTGTCCCACCATACCTGGCTTTTAAATTTTTTTGATGGTAAGCTCAGAACCTTGCTTGAGTTATAGCTCCATCTCTTTTTATTTTTTGAGTCAAAGTCTTGCTAAATTGCCTAGGTTGGCCTCAAATTTGTGCTCCTTCTAAGGAAATGGGATTATAGACATGAAGTTTTCTTTGTAAGTCACTTAATTCTCCTTCTGATTCCTAGGCATCTCCTTTAGAAATTTGCTTTGGAGATGCAGGCTTTCTGACCTGCTCCTCAAAACTCTTCTGTTAGACTATGCACTTACTATTCAGTTTGGTAGCTGTTTCTATACTTTCAGGTATTCATTACAGCAACTCCCTTCATTTTTCTGTACTCGTCTCTGTCTTAGTCCATTTGGGAATTTACAACAAAAATACCATGGACACAGTGACTAATAAATAATCGAAATTTATTTCCCACACTTTGGGAGACTGGAAAGTCCAAGATGAAGACACCCACATAGTTAGTATCTATTGAACGTCTGCTTGTGTAGATGGCAGTCTTGTTGCTCTGTCCTCACCTGGCCTAAGGGGCAGTTTTTTATAAGGGCACCGATCTCATTCGTGAGCACAGTGCCCCATGACCTTCTGCAAAGGTTCGGATAGTGTCTTAGTTACTTTCCTCATTGTTGAGACAAAATACCCGATACCCAGAGGTAAAGGAGGAAAGGTTTATTTAGCTCACAGTTTGTAGAGATTTTCATCCTTAATCGGCAGGGTGGCAGAGGGGCAACATTTCATGGCACTGGAAGTCAGAAAAAGCAACAAGAGATTTTAACAGCTTCTTTCTGCTCCCTTTGCTCCATCCAGGATACTTAGGGCAGCAGCACTCACACCCTTAACCCCAGTGCCCTTGAGCCTCGCATTGCACCATGACTCAATTCCAGCATCACACACACTAGATCCAGCCACCTCTGAAAAAGCCTGAAGCTTTGGGGGGACATCTAGACACAAGTCATACCAGGCAGATTTTGTTCTCTGAACTATTCTTGTATTCTAGCATAAACCCTGCATAGTCTTAGTGAGTTCTTCTGCTATATTGCTAAACTCACTTTGTTCAGACTGAATTTCAACCACTCATTCAACACACACTGCTCACCATTGTCAAGTGCTGAACCAGGGTTATCAGTGAATAAAGCAGACAAAAATCCCTGCCTGCATGGTGCATTACATTTTTTAGTTGATGAATTTTTTTTATCCACATTCACGAATCAACCAAGTTTGTACTTTGTTTTGGTGCTGCCATTTCTTGTTGTTTTATGGTTTTGTTGCAGTCCTAGATTAGCTCCCCAGTATGGCAAAAAGAAAGAAAGAAAAAAAGCCTTCTCTTTAAAATTCAGTCTTACTACAGTTTATTGAAAATTCATTACCAACAAGGATCTTGGTATGTTGGGTTAGTGCTAAAGTTCTTTTTCCTCTATTCTATAATAGGATTACCACTGTGTTAAAGTCTGAAAGAACATACCTGTACAATTACAAGTAGAAAATCTTGAAGATAGTTCCTGATAGTTGTCATGTCTTGCATCATTTATGTCTTTGAACCTTTCATAAACATATGCGAAGGGGCAATATGGCATGGTAGTTAAGATGAGAATTCTGGAGTCTGAATGCCTGGGTTCAAATCCCACCTTTGCTGGTTGCTTTCGGTGTACACTGGGGCTTAGAAAATACCCTTTGTCTGTCAGGCACGGTACTTCAAAATGTGTTTTATTCAGCATCTACAGTAGTTTTATGATGAGAACCCTCTAGTAATATTTAGATTATCAGACTGCCAGAAAGGCAAGTACTTTCAACATGTTGTCCTTCACTTACTTGGCAATCTGTGGCTTCAGATTTTCACTCAGCTAACGTGCAAGTGCATTACCATCCATTATTTCTAGGAAATGATTTACTTTAAGTTCGTTTTAAAATGACAGATTACAGAAACAATTTATATAGTTGCAAGAATTAATTTTAAAGATGAGCATTAATGCTTTATATTTTGAAACCTCTTCTTTCCAGTTATAGCGATTGTGTTATATCTTATGATGCCTCTTGTGAACGTAAGTGAAGTACTTGGACCCTTGTGCCTTATGCTACTCATGGGAACTGTCCACTGTCAGATTGTGTCTACTCAGATAACAAGGCCTTCAGGAAACAATGGCAATCGGAGGAGGAGGTAAAATGAGAAATTATATCTTAGTTTGGTATTTTCTGGAAGTGATATTAAAGAGATTTATAAAATCTTGGGTTAATTAAAAATCTTCCGCCGGGCGTGGTGGCGCAGGCCTGTAATCTCAGCACTTGAGAGGCTGAAGCAGGAGGATTACTGTAAGTTTGAGACCAACCTGGGCTACATAGTGAGTTCCAGGTCAGTCTCAACTACATAGTGAGACCCTGTCTCAAAAAAATCTTCTTCTATGGATATTCTTTTTTTTTTTTTTTTTTTTTTTTTTAGTACCAGGGATCGAACTCAGGTCCTTGCACTTGCAAGGCAGAAGGCAGAACCACTGAGCTAAATCCCCAGCCCTCTTCATTATTTTTTTTTACTTAAAATGCTTTTTTTCTTCATACTAAAAAACCTTATCAACTTCTAATCTCAGGTGAGATTTTGTCATTTGGTACAGTTGCTTAAAAGGAAAATTACTATATTATTTTTTAAAATTTATTTTAAACACTGCTTTTAAAAAACCCATTCTTGGGCTGGAGGTGTAGGTCACTGGTAAAGCACTCATCTAGCATGTGTGAAGCCCTGGTTTCCATCCCCAGCACTACCAAAAGAAAAATTTTTTTCTTTGAAATTCAGGCTTAATCAAACATTGTTGAAAATTCACTATCCACAAGTATTTTAATACATTGGATTAGTGCTACCAAAATTTTACCTATTTCCAAAAGTGTATAATTGATTTCTAAGTGGTCTAAACTTTAATTAAGATTGATTTGAGGTCTGGGGATTTAGCTCAGTGGTTCTGCTGCCTGCCTTGAAAGTGCAAAGTCCTGAGTTTGATCCCTGGTACCCAAAAAAAAAAAAAAAAAAAAATTTGATTTGAGTCTTTAACATATTAAATTCATGTGAAGTTTTTATTATTTGATATTTGTTGGTTTTGGAACTGCTGACATTTTCATAGGTATATTCAGTATTATCTTCCAAAAGTTATATTTCTTTAGAATATCTAATTTTTTTCCCTGAACCAATAACAAAGTAAAAATTTTCCATTGGTGCAGTGTATTTCAACATATTCTCTAGCTTTTCTTTTTGTGGCGCTGGGGATTGAACCCAGGGCTTGTGCATGCTAGGCAAATACTCTACCACTGAGCTATACCCCAGCCCTAGTTTTCAAAATATATTTATAGAAAGATGATTTCTTTAAATCTGGTTAAATTGATTCATTATTTTCTGTTTTTCTCTTTTTTTGTACTGGGGATCGAATTCGGGACCTTGCACTTGCAAGGAAGGCAGTGGCACCCCAGCATGATTCAGTATTTTCTGAGGAAATAAGTGCTGTGCTGTGTCTCATTGATATTTGTAAGATATGTCATTAAACTGCTTTATTGATTAGGATATCAATAAAAAAATGATCAGTTGTTTTTATTTTGTGTTGTCCTGATTAAATGTGCCAAAGGGGTAGATTACTAATGTCTGTATTTAAGTAAGTGGCTTCTTCTGCTAGTGGTTTGGAGTGTGTGTAAAGACCGTTGGTCACACAGATGAAAATTTTCCTAGTAAGTTTCTGAATAGCAATTCTAGTTCTTTAGTGACTGAACAAAATGATAACATAGGACTTTAGTTGAGTCTGTATGTGTCCTCAAATCAGAAATTTTCTTGTATTATTTATCCTTATTGTATGAAGTTAACTATCCTGGACTACAGGGACCACTCTATTGGTATAATTTTCTAGGTGTATTATGAGCAAAAACAGAAAAGGTCTTAAATAATCTGAAGCTCTTGAATTTTTTTTTTTTAGAAAATTACGAAAAACTGTAAATGGTGACGGGAGCCGAGAAAATGGAAGCAGTAACTCCTCTGAGAAAGTCAGAGGAGTAGAAACTTTGGAATCTGCACCCATTATGGGTGGTTTCTGGGGGACTCTCTTTGGCAGCAGGTGAGAATTTTACACTGAAATGTTTACTTGCTTTAGTGTTTGCAAGGTATATAATGTGATTGGGCCACAGGAGTACGTAGTGTAGGTGTGTTATCATGGTGTGATTTTTAAGGGCTCTAGAAAGATTTGCTTATTCCGAATGTTCCTCTTTCATGTAACCTATAAATCCAGTAATCTACCTTTACAGTTTTATTCTGCCTGACTTTAATGGTTTCCAGATCACAGGATTACAAAGATATAAATACTCCAAAAGGATAAGTATTTGAAGCCTTGTCATCTAATATCTTGAGAGAACTTTTAAAAGATTGGGACTGTGGTACTGTGAGCACCAGTGACTCTTTAGTAATGGAGTGCAGCACGGGAGCCTGGTGTTGATGAGCTCCTGGGCAGAAGGGCAAATGGATCAGGGAGCACTTTTACCTCGTTTGGAATTTTACAGCTTTTGGCAGCCTTAATATGACTCAAAAAATGCTTATTTTGTTTTTATCAATGATGGCAACTTAAAAATAAAGTTTTTGCCGTTACTTTGAAGTTGCAGTGTGTTGTATGTCAGTTATTTTTCCAAAGATAAGTTTATACCCTTTGGTTGAAGTGTTTGAGTTCTCTGTGCCGGGTATGGTGAGTCCCTGTCCTGTGTGGTTGGGCAGGTGGGGGTAACAGGTGTGACACAGTCACAGCGGAGACTATGATGAATGACTGGCATATGGCCGTGGCACTTAGCAAATGGAGGCGTATCCTGTGGGAAAGTAGTTGGCAGCAATGGTGAAGGACCTGAGAGTCGTGGGGCTTTGCCGCATGGCCGTGGTTCAGGGGGATGGACAGAAGTGAGGCTGATGTGCTGTCACGCGGCTTGAAAGGGCCACGTGAAGTAGGAGTTGCCACTGGTTTGAGAGCATAAGTGGATAGGACTGTTAGTCTGTTTCCTTGCAAAACTAAAAAGTACATGCTGCTTCTCAGCTGATAGGAACAGATTCAAATTCTCTGTGAGTCTCTCCCTGTAATACTCTTAGCAAGCTAGAGGCCTAGAAAATAATTTCTGATGTTTCTTGATTTCCAGAATTTGTTGCATTGCTCTGAAGGTGATTTTGTGAAAGGTGTTAGTCTCAGAAAAGTAATTAGTAATCCCTTTGTCTTTCCTTTTATTTTTTGATAGGATTAAAAAAGTAAAGTTGCTATCTAACAAAGGGACTGAAACTGACAATGACTCATGTTGTCTCCATCCTATCATTAAGAAGAGGCAGTGCCAACCAGACTTTAGAATGTGGCAAACAAGAGAGAAAGGAAAATTTTCAGATGGAGAAAAGTGCCGTAGGGTAAGATGTAGATGGGTGTAACAAAATCTTTTGTTTCATATGTAAAATTTTCTGTTCTTGGACTGTGTTAGAAATACACAAGAGATACTCATGTGTTTGTAAGTTTGTCTTAATAAGCAAAACCACAGGTTATAAAAAAGAAAATATCATCTGGAGATTGGAGCTTAGTCTTCAAATACCTATGACTAGAACTTGTTATTGCTCCTGCTGTTGATTCAGTCTTCCCAGTAGATTAGCGTAGAGACCACTGTGTCGTATTCCAGAGTGGCAGTGATAGTCTTAGGGCTAGGGAAACTATTTTTCTTTTTTTTTTTTCCTGGTACTAGGGATCAAAATCAGGACCTTGCACTTGCCAGCCAGGTGAGGTGCTGATGAGCTACGTCTCTGGCCCAGGAAACTCTTTTCTAAGTTTATTTTATTTTATTTATTTATTTTTTTGGTACTGGGGATTGAACTTGGGTCCTTGTGCTTGTGAGGCAGGCGGTGGAACCACTGAGCTAAGCCAGTTCTTTTCTAAGTTTATTTTATTTTATTTATTTATTTTTTTGGTACTGGGGATTGAACTTGGGTCCTTGTGCTTGTGAGGCAGGCGGTGGAACCACTGAGCTAAGCCAGTTCTTTTCTAAGTTTAGGTAGAGATGCTGTGTTCTGTTTATTTTTCAGTCTTGAACTGTTTATTTTATTTTTTCCTTATTCTTTAGCCCATGGCTCTCAGTCTGGTACTCATTGTGCCATTACTACTACTAATGTTTTTTGAGTATTGTTCTAAGTGTTTTACGCATACAAACTTCCTTTTTTCCACAACTTTGTGAGTCAGATGCTTTTATTGTCATTACTTTTCAGATGGGGAAACCCAGAGAAATTGAATAAATTTCCCAAAGTTACATAGCCAGAAAAGAGAAGAGTTGTGATTTAGGCCCAGAGTTTGACTTGAGCCAGTTTTAGTTTCAAGTTCTTGTTTTCCTTAATTTTGAAATTTTTCTCAATTTTGAGATCAAGTGATATGTAGATTTGTTTAGTTTTGATTTAGTTTCCTTTTACTTTTCACATATGCAGTTTCCAGGGTATTTGGGGCTGTCCCTGTGAAGGTATTTCTGTTCTCTCTTAGGAGGCATACAGGCGTTTGGGCAACGGAGTTTCAGATGAGCTGTCCAGTGAGGACGACGGCGAGGCCCGGACACAGATGACCCTGCTGCGAAGGAGTGTGGAAGGTGCTTCAAGTGACAATAATTGTGACGTCAAGAATAGAAAATCAGTACTCTCCAGGCATCTAAACTCTCAGGTCATTTTTGTTTTAGTTTATACAAGTTAAATTCTTAAATCATTCAGTAGTAACAAGGTATTTAACATGTTTTCCTATTGTTTCTTGGTTTGATTTTTGGCAGGTAAAGAAGACCACTACAAGGTGGTGTCATATAGTACGGGACTCAGACAGTGTGGCTGAATCGGAATTTGAATCAGCAGCCTTCAGCCAGGTAAAGAATCCGCTTAAGAGATCAGCATTCAAGGTCTATTTTTGAGAGTAACAACTTCATCCATTCCTTTTTTTCATTGGTTGCTCTAAGGTGGTGTTTATAAAGGCCTACCCTTTCCTTATCTCCACTTACCTGTCTACTTATTTAGCAACTTATAGATGACTACTTAATCCTAGAAAAAGAATGAATTCTTTATAGTTTGATTTTATTCATAAAAGTATCACCGATGATGCTCAGAAAGAGGTGACACGGTTACTTAATATTCACTTGGAGTATGGAGTTTAAGTGTCATTCAGCTGTACCCCTAGCCTGGAGTTTTAAGTATCATAAGTGGGGTTGATATCGCTGAGAGGGGACCTCTGAAAGGTGGGAGCAGTAACAAAATCTCGTCTTGAAAGCTAAGGGGCCTGTGGAATATGGTGATTCAGAGACGATGGTGATGTGGTTTTCGTTTTGCTTTGATTTGATTGATAGTCGGAGTCATGAGAAACTGTGTCTGTGCTTCTGTCTCCTGATTATCCTTTAACATGGTGGTGCTGGGCTTTGGTCATCACTAGATCCATAGTTAGGATCTCAGTATTTAAGTAGGGGACACTGTGTGTCAGAGGCCCAGCCAAGCCAATTGTGGGGTCCTCCGGGTGTCCTTACAGGATCTGCTCTCATCGCAGAAGAACTCATCCCTGAGTTGAACTTGAAGAATACATGAGTTCTTAGAGGGAGTCCCTTTACGTCTTGCTTGCTAGGGTCAACAGAGTTTAACATTTAAATATTAAATGTATTATTGCCGGGTGTGGTGGCACATGCCTATAATCCTAGCACTCAGGAGGCTGAGGCAGGAGGATCGCTGTGAGTTTGAGACCAGCCTGGGCTACATAGTGAGTTCCAGGTCAATCTCAACTACATAGTGAGACCCTGTCTCAGCGCCCCCCCAAAGATTAAATAAATAAAAGTAAGATGTATTATTGCACAAAAACTGTGAATCAATGACAGCATGGTGATCAACTTGTGAAACTTTTGCTAGCTATTGCTATAGATAACTTGTTTTAATTTTATTTCAGATATATAATTAAAGATGAATGAAAAAACATTTTCTTAAGATTTTCCTTTAAAGGGCTCTAGATCTGGCATGAGTGGTGGCTCTCGAAGCCTCAATCTGTCAAGAAGAGACTCAGAAAGCACCCGCCATGACTCAGAGACTGAGGATATGCTATGGGATGACCTACTGCATGGCCCGGAGTGCCGGTCATCTGTCACCAGTGACAGCGAGGGGAACCATGTGAATACCCTACACTCAGGGACCAAGCGTGACCCCAAAGAAGATGTCTTTCAGCAGGTCTGTGATGGAAGTGGTCAGAAGAGCTAGCGTTTCCTATGTACTCATGTCAGGCACTATATTACCTCTTTGAACTTTGCAGTAATCCTATAAAGTAAATGCCATCATTCCTCATTTAGAGATGGGAAATTGAGCATAGCCTGTAAGTGAAGATGTTGGGATGAGAATTCAAGAATTCCATACAGTTGCCCTGATCTAAATTTTTCTTCCTAGTACTTTTTCCCATTGAAACTAATGAGAAAGGTTTGTTGTTGTTGTTGTTGTTGTTGTTTTCGTTTTCCTAGTAATGGATGCTGAACTCAGCCTTGGCACTGAGCTACATCCTTAGTTCATTTTTTATTTTGAGACAAGTTCTTGCTAAGTCACTGAATTGCCCAAGCTGAGCTTGAACGTGGGGTCCTCTTGCTCAGCCTCCCAGAGTCCTGGGATTATAGGCGTACTCCACCACCAGCTAAGAGAGTGCAGGTTTGTCTGAAGGTACGTCTACCTTCTATTCCCACAGACATTGTAGTAGTATGTATAGATTACTAGAAGATGACATTGCTTACTTCCCTCATCTATAAATCAAGTAGTGCTTTTAATTTTAGGTTTTATATTATTATAAAATCAGATAGCCTAGAATTGGAGAGCCATGGAACGTATTTTAGCCTTCAGAACCAGTTTAGGCATTCATTCTGTATCTATAAAAATTTTTTTTACCATCTGTCACTTGGCAGTAATAATTCTTTTGAGGAGTGTTGGGAAATAGCTGAGCTAGTATGAAGTGGTTGGCACAGTGCTGTTAGTCTTGCCAGCCCCCTTCAAGGGGTGGTCAGCCTCTGCCTGCGGCCTGTGGAGCTGGGATGCTTGTTGAGTCCTGAGACAGCTCCTGCCACTGCTGGGTAGACTGAATGATTAGGAGGTGGTTCCCATAGCAACTTTTTACACATCTGATGGCAGTGGTCCTGATTCTTCTTTGTTGTCTTGTTTTTTAGCTTAAATATGTTTGCAGATAATAATGAATGATGGATATACATTTTAAAAATTACTGTATTTTGGGGCCAGGGATTTAGCTCAGCGGTGCTGCTGCCTGCCTCGCAAGTGCAAAGTCCCAAGTTTGATCCGTGGTACCAAAAAAAAAAAATGTGTGTGTGTGTGTGTGTGTTTATTTTCTTGATAGTACACCACAAATTGCACATTTTATGGGGGGAAAACCCACTTCATTAAATCTATATAATTTTTTAAATAACCAGAAACATCATACATTTTCTCATTAAAATTTTATACTTTCTCCAATTTTAATATCAAAGTTTGAATCTGAATATTCTTCATGGTCACTGGTTCACAGTCTTCTGAATGCCCCAGGCCTTTGTAGCTGTGCATGGCATCATGATCTTGAGCTCCTTAGTATTTTTGAGATTTATAGTATACTTTTAAAACAGATCCAAGAGTAGCTGGGGAAGGTGTTCTCACCATGTCACTAACGGATCAGTCATTTCCATTTCCCCAGGCCCGGCCTGTTTCCATTCCGTCTCCACTCCTAGCCACCGTCCACTTTGCGTGGTGCTGGCCTCCACTGTCCCTCATCAGCCTCGTTCTGATCGTTAGAGCAGCTTCTCTAGGTTGGCCTATCCTTTTTTCTCACTACAGCCAGAGTGCAATTTCCAGAATTCAATCTGATAATGCCATTGTCCTTAAAATCCGTTTTTCTTTCTTCTGGGTTATTTGCTTCTGTTGCTTTATTTGCTTTAATAAAAACACATCTCTGACCTTTACCGTCCTGCTCCTCACATGATATTCTTGGACATAACTGAGCCTGCAGTTCCTTCCCTTTCTTCTTTATTTTTATGTCTCGTGTCTCTGGTCCTTTGCATGTTCTGGTTTCTTTGCCTGGGACACACTTTTCTCTAATATCCATCCCTTGGCTCACTTCTTTATATTTAGGGCAGGCCTTTTCTAGAGTGATTTACTTCTTTCAAAAAACCTGTCCTGTATATACCTAAAGCACTCTTCCTTTCCTTACCATGCTGTAAAGGAATTTTACTTAATCATGTCTTCTCCAGAAGTCTAAGCCCCTTGACAACAAGGACGTATATCTTGTTACCCATTGTATCTGCAGTACATGTTACATAGTAATATGGCACATGTTTTATTACATAGAGATGCTTAAATATTAATTTTTTAGGTAAATCAGTGAACCAGTGAACAAAATCAGTGCTCATGAGCATTATGCTGAGCATTTTAGTGGAAAGAGAATAAATATACCGTATGGCCCTTTTATAGAAACTTGCATTTTAACAATGATTATACAGGAAATAAGTAGAGAACACAATTAAAAGCACCTTATAATGAGAGGCTGATTTGTCCGATACAGACTGTAAGGGTTTTTAATTCAGAGAAGGGCAAAATTGGTGCTGCATGTGGCTGTTGAGAGGACCGTGTTTGGGAGATGGCACTTGCGCTGGTACCTGAAGAATAGGCCAGCTCTGGCAGAGGAGGATGGGGGCTGCTTCCATTGTGAAGGTCTCCTCTTGGGCCTGAGCATCCTGTTTTTCTGTGCCCTTGTTAGGCCAGAGAAAGAGCTCCTCAGATATTCACGTGGCCTGTCGGAGCTCTGCACCTGCCTTATTTCCTGCTACATTAAACCCCTGACTTAGGAATGAGTTCTGTTCTGGGAGAACGTTCGTAAGTCAGATTCATCCATAAATCCAACAGAGTGAGTCTTACACACCAGAAATACGCAGTGTACCTTGCTTTGCGCTTCCTAGCAGCGCCCTCCAGGTCACCGCTGCTTTCCCTCTTGCTCCCGGATTGAGCACTGTTCTGTGCAGTGAGCACGCAGCAGCACATCCGTGGTGATGTCCGACCAACGCCACTGCTTCCGCAGTTCGGTCCCCTTTACGAATGTTTATAGTGCGACGTCGGTATCTGGAAAGTTCGCAGCTTGAGTGCTGTAAGGTGAGGACTCACTATACTCCCGGGGAGCTCTCGTTGCTCCAGAGATACTTTCTTCTTAGCAGCCTGTGAATACACTGATCTTATTACTCCCACGACTTTAAAACAGTGAGCAGCTTCAGACATGATGGAGTCCGGCCAGTTCCGTTGTACAAGTCATTTAGCCTCTCTTCAGGTAAGAAAACCGCTCAGTAGAGAGTAAAGGACTTGAAATCGGCATCATAGAAGTGGTTTTGCAGTGATGAGCTTTGTGTGTGAGAGAGAATAGGTTAATAAGATCATGAAGGTTGTCTAATACAGACTCGGAACTGGACAAAAGAGAAAGGAAAGCACACGGAGGGAGGAAGTGGGTGAAACATCTTTTTATTTTTCTCCCCAGAACCATTTATTCTGGCTTCAGAACTCAAGTCCTGCCTCTGATCGAGTTAGTGCAATAATCTGGGAAGGAAGTGAATGCAAAAAGATGGATATGTCTGTGTTGGAAATAAGTGGTATCATCATGAGCAGGGTAAGATCCATTAAGTTCCGGATTTAAAGCTAATGTACTTAATGATCGGGAGTTACATAACAATCTGCTCGGCAATTAAAAGAACATTGGCTATGCTTTTTTCTTTTCTCATTTTCCAGTGCTAGGGATCAAATTCAGAGACTTGTGCATGCTAAGCATTCTTGCTACTGTGCTGCATTACTAGTCTTATATCCCCGTCCCCATTCCTAGTCTTATTGCTCTGTTTTGAAAAGACACACATATTTTAAATTTTGTGGCCACGGTCTTTATTTGGTAGTGTTCTGTTTTATTTGTTTAATTTGCTGCACAAGGTCTGTATTAGCGTGATAAGTTGTTCAGGTGTAAGTATTCCTGGTCTCAGTTTGGCATGATCCATGATAAGCCGTAAATCTGCAGGTATTTTTTTCCTCCCTTGGTGCTGGGGATTGAACCCTGTGCATGCGGAGCACATGTTTTACCTCTGATCTTATCCTCAGCTCAGATTTGCTTATCATTTTTACGTGTACTTCATTTAAAATGTGTTTTTAATGTTTTAAATACCTTTTGATAAATGCTTCTCATATCTCCACTTTGTTATGCAATGCTGATGGAAATTTTAAATTAATTCCCAGGTCAATGCATATCAGCAAGGAGTAGGTTATCAGATGCTGGGAAATGTCGTCACCATTGGATTAGCATTTTTTCCTTTTTTGCATCGACTTTTCCGGGAGAAGAGCTTTGACCAACTAAAGTCCATTTCTGCTGAGGAGATCTTGACTCTCTTTTGTGGGGCTCCACCTGTTATACCTATTATTATTTTGTCTATAATTAATTTTTTTGAAAGATTGTGTCTTACGTGGATGTTTTTTTTTATGATGTGTGTGGCAGAGAGAACATATAAACAGGTCAGTACACAAGTAAAATTTCTTTCTTTCTTTTTTTTTTTTTTTTTTTTTTTTTTTTTCTTTTGTTTTTTTTATTTTTTTTTTTGTATGATGTTCCATTGAGTTGCTTTTGTTCTCTTGATTTTGGTATCCGTGGATTTAATATTTGTGTTATTGACTCTACAGATTACATGTCATAATCTGAAATTTTGCTGAACCCTATGTATGGAAATAAATGGTTTAGGTAGTGAACACCAGCATCTGCACCTCAATGTACATTTCTTGTTTTTTATTCATAACATACAATCCTCAAAGTGATAATATTTTTGTGAAAAAAAGGACTAAGCCTGGGAGGCTGAGGCAGGAGGACCACAAATTTGAGCCTACCCTGGGCAACTTAATGAGTTAGTGAGACTGTTGGGAGAGAAAGAGAGCAAGACAGAGACAGAGACAGACAGACAGAGAGAGAGAGATGGTCAAGTGAAAAATTTATTGAAAAAAAATTTTTTTTGTTTTTGTTTTTGTTTTTTTGAGACAGGGTCTCACTATGTAGTTGAGACTGACCTGGAACTCACTATGTAGTCCAGGCTGGTCTTGAACTCACAGTGATCCTCCTGCCTCAGCCTCCCGAGTGCTGGGGTTACAGGCATACGCCACCATGCCCGGCAGAGATTTATTGAAATTTGATGAGCTCTAGATTGGTGACTTAATATATCTATATTGGTTGTATGCATGATGTGATTTTGTATGGAAAAATAATTTGAAAGTAAGCCAGAAGAATCATGTATAAACATTTGAGTTTGTGTAGTTGAGGGTTCACAAAAGGTATCCAAAGGATATTCCTAACGAACGTCAAGGGTGTACCATTTTGTGAAGAAGGGTGATAATATATGCGTTGGAAGCAACAAGGTAATGAGATGTTAATTTTTTTTCACATCCATCTTAGTGATTACTGGTAAGAATTCCATTCTTTTTGACAAATCCTGGGGACTTTTTGTGATTTTTTTTAACTTTCTCTAGAGATTTTTATTTGCAAAACTCTTCAGTCATATCACTTCTGCCAGAAAAGCAAAGAAATATGAAATACCTCATTTCAGGCTTAAAAAGGTGGAGAACATTAAAATATGGCTCTCACTGCGATCCTACCTAAAGGTGAGTTTTATCTGATTAACAGTAAGATATGTGCAAGAATGTGTAGAGAGCATCCTTAAAGTCTGGCGGTGGTGGCCCACTGGGCCAGTGGTCCTGGGTGCTGGAGATTCCATCAGTAGCTGACAGACTTGGCTCCACACCGGATGTGATGCATCAGCAAAATTGGACAAATTTGAAAAAGGCTTAGAAAGAGAAAATTCAGATTTCCTAGGGCAGAATGATGAGTATTACATCTTTTGACTTTTGAGAAATAATCAAGTTGAAAATACATTGAGTCAGTCAACTTCTCAGTTTGGAAGGGTCTGGATTTCAGTACTGCAACTCAGTGGTGCCTGAAATGTATTAAAGTCCTAAACCAGAAACTTCTTGTAGACATTGATTTTTTTTATTTTATTTATTTATTTTTTAATTTTTTGGTACCGGGGATTGAACTCGGGGCCTTGAGCTTGTGAGGCAGGTGGCGGCACCACTGAGCTAAATCCCCGACCCTTTAGACATTAATTTTTACACTGTGTTAGTGAAATTCAGAGTTGAATGAGGTGAGGACTTGTTGCTGTCTCTGCCTGGAACATTAACCTCTGTGTCTCACTCTGCAGAGACGTGGTCCCCAGCGCTCAGTTGATGTGGTTGTATCTTCGGTCTTCTTACTGACACTCTCCATTGCTTTCATTTGTTGTGCCCAGGTAAAAGTTTCATGTGTGTTTCAGTGGAAATTCTCTGTAGGGTTAACTTCCTGTATTAGACCAGGTAATTATGTGTTTAAGTATAAATTTTTAAATGTGTCCATTTCTTTTGCTACTTGTTAGTTTTTCTAACTTCTTAAAATTGGAATATAGGTAAATTTGAAACTCTAAAACTGTAGGAGAGTCCTAATTTAATTTTAGTGAGCAATTTTTGACTAATAATAAGGCTGTCAGACCCTGATACTGCAAAATAGTGATTTTCTAACTATCTCATTTTCTCTACATTAGTCGTCACTTTCAGGTAACCCTTTCTCATTCATTACACTGTATGTAGATCATATATTGTTATTTTTCGTCCATGGGCTGTAATCCTTTACTATATCAGATTTGGCCAGTGGCAGCCCGTTGAGGCCACTTCCTGTGTCCATTTGACAGATCCTCCTGCTGTAAGCCCTTTTGGTTCTTTCTGCAGTACAAGGAGTCAGGCTCCTCCTGTTCTTTCCCATTTATTGGGTATAACTCAGTCCTGCTGTGGTCAGAGAACATACATTGACTCTTCAGTTCTTGGAACTACGTCTAGGTTCCCTTTATTATACAGTAAATATTTAGTTTTATTAAATCTTCCATCAGCACTTTGGAAGAGTTTGTATTCTGCCATTGTTGATAACAGTATTCTCTGTATTGCTATATAATTAATTCACTAATCCAAGTTTACTAGTTATAGTACTGAAAGTACCTATATTTTCACTTATTTTTTGGTCTGTTTATTCTGTCAGCCATCAGTAAATGTATGTTCAAGTCTACTGTGATTGTGGATTTGTCTATTTTTCCTTTTATTTATTTCAGTTTTTGCTTTATTTCAGAATCACATGTTGCTTTCTTTTTCTTTTTTTTTTTTTTTTTAACTGGGGATCGAACTTGGGACCTTGTGCTTGTGAGGCAGGTGGTGGAACCACTGAGCTAAATCCCTGGCCCTTGTTTCTAGTCTTTTAATCTGAAAATTTAAAAAGCAACAAAAAACTTTTTTTTTTGGTACCAGGGATCGAACTCAGGTCCTTGAGCCTGCAAGGCAGGCAGTGGAACCACTGAGCTAAATCCCTGGCCCCCAAGCAACAAAAACTTCTATCAGAAAAAGAAACTTAGTAGACCCTCAATAACTGAGAGTTTTTTTTTTCATCTTTTGTGATCTTATTAAATGTCTATATTGTTAATGTTTCAACTTGGTATTAAGTACATAAGCTATCTTTTATTTTTGGATTTGTATCTTTACACTCTTATTTTCTTGTATTTTAGGCATGTCTCTTGTAATCATCATGTACTTTTGTGATTACTTATATTTTAAACCAACCTTGGTATTTGCAATGTCTTGTTCATTTAAACTTAATTACTGTGGGTCGGGGATTTAGCTCAGTGGTGCTGTCGCCTGCCTCCGAAGCATAAGGTCCCAAGTTTGATCCCTGGTACCAGAAAAACTTAATGGCTGTGACTATGAATACTGTTTGTTCCTGACTGGTCTACTTTTTAAATTTTCCTTTTTCTCTTCTCATTGTGCCTTCGTGTTTTTATTAATCAAATATTTCTTAGTATGTCATTTAATCTTCATCATTAACTTGTAATACATTTTTTTACTATTGTTTTAGTAGGAACCTCAGCAATTAGGAATCTAATAAATGATTGATTTGTATGGTTTAATTAATTGACTAATTTATAGCCTCCTTGATAGTGCTAGGATCTTAGAACACTTCATCTTCTTTACTCTTTCATCTTTTGTTTTATTGCTCATTATCACACACTTCCCCAAAGATGTAATTATTGTCTTTTTGTAGTCAACTATTCATTTATATTTAAACACATCTGTGTCCTTTTTATTGCTTTTTTGTCTTGTATTTTTGTTTTTCTGGCATTATTTTCCTCCTATTTATTAGTATTTATTTTAGTGCCAGTCTGATTCTAGAATTCTATATTTTACAGTATCTTAAGAAGCCAATTAGTCTTGTTGCTGTTTTTTTTTAATTAATATGTACTCTTTTCCTGACTTAAGAATTTTTCTTTGTATTTTATTTTGTGCCAATTTGATTGTATATTTGTAACCTATTATGCCCAACAAATTGGATCACTTTTCTGAGCAGGTAGGCCCGATTGCTACCAAGCATTACTGTGCTGATATTTATTTATTTATTTAGTACTGGCGATCCCACTTGGGTCCTGTGCCTGTGAGGCAGGTGTCGGCACCGCAGAGCTAAATCCCCAGCCCTTTATTCCTCCTATTTATGACTAATTGACCAACTTGAACCTGACCCCAACTGAGCTAAACCTAGTCTGTCCTTTGGAAATGAGAACTAGTGAGAGCCTGAGCTATCAGTTATGGATTTTGGAGGAGGAAGGCAGCGGGGTCTCTGAGGAGGCGTCTGACAAACCACAGCTGGTTTAAGTCAAAGTCACTGAGGACGCAGAAAGCCTGGGCCTCCTAGGCAATGGGACTGAGCGATGGGACTGCTCGGGAGGAGTGGAGATGGGCGGGCAGAGAGCGGAAAGGACAGCTGCTTGGTGACTTCCTGTTATTCACAAGGCTTTTGGTTTCTGTGAAAGCTCTCTGTATTTCTCAGGAATTTAGCTTGCCTTGGTTGGGCTTTCTTGAATCAGTTTCTCTAATTTTATGTCAACAATTTTAAAAGCAGCGAAAACTTTATCCGAAGACCTGACACATTATCAGCACGTAGTGAATGGTAGTTGCTGCTGCTGCAGTTGTTGTTTTTTGTTTTGTTTTGGTACCGGGGAGGAACCCTGGACCTTGCGCTTGCGAGGCAGGCAGCGGAACCACTGAGCTAAATCCCCGGCCCTGCTATTATTTTGGATTCTAACTAATCCTTAGGGTTTTTTTTAGTCAGACCACAGAATGGGCCACATGTTTTTTGGTAGCTAATGATTGAACAATGGTCATCATGCACTTGTGAGTGGACTGCAGTGATTACAGTAGCTGGAAATGCATTTATCTTATTTTACTTATTGTGTTATATTTTGTTACTTCAAAACTCTGGCTGTCTTTGATGAAAAGGAACAAAATGTAGGAAACTTAGAGGAATACATAATGAAATAAATGATATTTATGAATGTTAAGACATTAAAATATTGAATTCTTAAAAATCTATGACTGGTAGAATAAAGCAGCAATTATATGATTTTAAGACACATGATAAATTGAACTTTTCTTGGCCCCTTCGATAGGTTCTGCAAGGACATAAAACTTTCCTGAATGATGCTTATAACTGGGAGTTTTTGATCTGGGAAACAGCTTTACTGCTTTTCTTACTACGCCTGGCCTCACTGGGATCTGAAACCAATAAGAAATACAGCAATGTTTCAGTATTACTTACAGAGCAGGTATTGACTGGTCCTCAGTTGGCTCAGTGGTTAAAGGTGGTCTCGTATTACGTATTCCTGATGCCCAGGGGTCAGGGTTGAGTCACTGGCTGTCGCTTTCTGAGCAGTTTGACCTCTCAAGTCACTGTGCTGTTTTGCAGTTGTTTACTCCTTCTAAAATGGGTATTACATCTTCCTCACTTGCTCCTGAGACTGTGAAAATTAAGATCTAATGAGGTGATTACTTCATGTACTGTAAGGATGTTTTTATTGTTGGTAGTGGAGTGTGCTTTTAATCTTATATTCTACATCAAATACTGGATCTTTAGAGTACTTGTCATTTACTATGTAAAATAAGCTTGTTTCTCTCTTTTGGCTTTTTTTTCTTGTTTCTTTCTGTATCAGCTATAGAATGCATTGAATATATACTAAGACGGAAAAAATGTCATTTATTTTTAATTTAATTTTTTTGAGGCAGGGTCTCACTATGTAGTCTAGGCTGGTCTTGAATTTACTGTGTAGTCCAGGCTTGCCTCCAACTCACGGTGATCCTCCTGCCTCAGCCTCCCAAGTGCTAGGAATAAGTGCTAGGATTATAGGTGTGCACCACCACACCAGCCTTGAGAAATAGTTCTTATAAATACAGAGTCCATAAGGTGATTTCTTTTTTAACTTTGATTATAATTTTGAGTTTACCCATAAAGTTTCAAGTAAACACATTTGGAATCTCTTTTTTTAAACCTTAAAATTAAAGTGGAGGATTCTTCCTGTAAGACGAAAAAATAAGGAATTAGTAAGTTAAAATAGCTATCTTTTTTCTACAAGTGTTAGATTGTTTGGGGGATACCAAGATGAATAGCATATAGTTTTGAACTCAAGGAGCTTACCTGATATATTGTTGTTATTATTATTATTATTATTATTATTATTAGTTTTTTTTTTTGGTACCAGAGATTGAACTTGGGACCTTGTGCTTGTGAGGCAGGCAGCAGCACCACTGAGCTAAATCCCCGGCCCTCCTGCTAATATTATTGCATTGCGATTAAAAAGTAAAGATTTCACTGTTTTGATGTTTAAACTGCTTTGTTATTTTTTCTTCACTAAGTAGTTTTTCTTTGCTAAAGGGCAGCTGATTGGCAGTGCCAGGGTACATGACGTGGTCTTTATAGAGAGAGCTGCTGGAAATTCAGAATTTGTTTTACTTGAAAACATGATCCTTAAAATTTGTTGGATTTTGTGCAGTATACATATGTGTCTTTATTTTTTCCTATGAAATTAATCTCTCTGTTCCTTCCCTTAGATTAATTTATATCTTAAGATGGAAAAAAAGCCAAATAAGAAAGAACAGCTCACTCTAGTAAACAATGTATTAAAGCTGTCCACCAAGTTGTTAAAAGTAAGTCATATCTTTTGATATACTTTTACTACAAATTAAATTTGCTACTTCTCTGAGAAAACAGCGAATCATGGATGGTGCCCCAGTTGGGAGGGCTCTGCGGCCAAGTCCTTCGGGGTCAAGGCAGTGGTCAGGGCCAGAGCCGAGGCTGCCAGGCTGCGGCCGAGGCAGGCTGAGAGCAAGGTCCCGGAGGAGAGCGGCCTTCTCCCCTGCCCATCGAGGAGTCGGCATGGGCTTCCTTGGAGGGACGTCCCTCAAGGCAGAGGTTGGACCTGTGTGAAGGCAGACCCGGTGTGCTACCGTCAGGAACCACGTTGGTTGTGTTGCTTTGGGCGTTGTGTAGCCTGCCACCTGCTAGAAGGCCTTAAGGCGATTACCCGCCGTCATCTCTGCAGCAGGCTGGTGCACGAACAAGATGGGCACACCTCCCCGCGGCCGGGGACTTGCTGCTGCAGCTCTGTGTTGCTGGCCTCCTCCCTGCTCCCAGAGGCGTGGGCGTGGTCTGGGCCCGTGTTATATGCTAGTGTCCACCAACACCAGTGTCCACCGCTACTCCTCTGCCGGGGCTGCACTGCAGCGTCACCAGGGCCATGTCGGTGCTGTCTCTAAGACCTGCCGCTGACTCATTTCTGGCCTCTGGAAGGACAGTGTTCGCCAAGACACCCTGTCAGGAATTCACTGACCAGGACCTGCACACCCATCCGGGGTCCTCACGAGGAGAACTCACTCTCCAGTGTGGCCCATGTAATGTTTTTACATAGGAAAATAAAGTGAATTGAGCTCATTTTTAATTAGTCAAAGCAATGCTTTGCTTCTTAGATCCTATATATAGCACATAGATGCCATAATACCGACATGATGGTTTTATGGTAATAACTTTGTAAGAAAAACTTTCCATCGTGTTACCCAGCTTCTGATGACTGCTGATGTCTATCATATTTTTTAAAATTACTTTTTAATAAAACCATAAATGACTATTGTTCTAATCTACCTTAAAAAGCATTGGTTGTAAGCCACTTGTGGTGATGCTGTCCTGAAATACCAGCACTCTGGGAGGCTGAGACAGGAGCATCTCAAGTTTGAATGCAGCCCTAGGTGACTTAGCAAGATGCTGTCTCTAAGTAAAAAATAAAAATTGGACTGAGGATGTGTCTCAGTATGAGGTCCAGGGCTCAATGCCCAGTACTGCAAAAGTAAATTAACAAATAAAGGTCGTGGAAAAGTAGTTCAGGGTACTTTATGGAATTTTTGAAGGTTGCTCTGGAACATGAAAGTGAGAGAGCCTTAAGCAGTCATCTGCACCCAAGACTTAAAAAAACAGCAGGAAATTACTAACTGCTTTTGAAAACCATGTCTCATTTCAGTCCTTTCATGTTTCATAGGAGCTGGACACACCATTTAGACTCTATGGGCTGACGATGAATCCCTTAATCTACAATATCACAAGAGTGGTTATTCTTTCTGCTGTCTCAGGAGTTATAAGTGATCTTCTAGGATTTAATATAAGAGTAAGTGTGATTACTACTCCAGCATCTTAGACTTAGAATTACTGTGTGTAATAATGTGCTTTTTGCATGTTGTGTGGGTTGGCTGGCAGGGAAACGAGTAAAGCAGCAGGCATTTTGAATGGTAGAGCACAGGCTTTGTTCCTCATTTTTATAAGTACAGTAGACTGAACACTTGAGTGAACAAAATGTTTGAGTTTCATGTCAGTAGTGTGCGCTGGATAAGACCCTCCCTGGTCTAGGGAAATACACAGAGGTAAAATGAATGGACATCAGTATCACAGGGACTACAATATGTCATTTTTGATCCAGAGGTTTTTAATGTTTTTTTCGCCATGATATTCTGGTTTTTTTCTTCTTACATAAAGGGTTTTTAGTTCATAGTCAGTGAATGTACCTTTGTATCCTACCTGTCTCAAAACTATCTTTTTTGGTGGGGTTTTGTTGTTGTTGTTGTTGTTTTTTTTTAGCTGTGGAAAATTAAGTCATAAGCTGAGTCGTGCGCCTGGATCCCGCCCCTGGCTGGCCCGGCGCTGACCTTTAAGGAGCGAGATGGCCACAGACCGCATGAGCCCCGCCTGCCGTGTGCCGCTTCACATGCAGAGGTGCTCTCAGCTCTGTCGGAGCTGACGGACGCTGTTCTCAGAGGAGCGACCCTTCCCCGGGGTGTGCGTGCTAAAACCCGGGTTCAAACAGCACGCGTCGTAGCAGACTAAGGACTGTCTGTGTTACAGGGACACGAGGACAGTTTTGTAAGGGAGTTTATTCTGGGCACTTTAGAACTGTGACCGTTACATTTACTGGACTAGGCTTTTTGGATAAAGATGGCAGATGCCCACAGCATGAAGCAAGTATCTTTTTACTGGAAATATGGAAATTCATTCAGCACTTTTCTATTACACTCTATGAAATTGGAGATTTCTCTATCAAAGAGAGTCAAACTATTTTAGGTTGAACCCAAATAAAAGAAGAACTTTACTGGAGAGTTTCAGTTTCTAGGCTATTTTATTTTGGCTGAAGGGAAAAAATCTTTTCAAGCTGTCGTTTTTGGTTCAGCTGTGGAAAAATCTTTAATGAGCTAATTCTAATAAGTACAATTGCTGGTAAGTCATGCATATAATAACCTCAGTAATTCACCCAGAGAAATGTAAGTGTACGTTTCCTACTCTGTGTCCATCATACGATGTGGTTTCCATGTTAATAGTTTTATCTGTCATGCAACTTGATGTATCCAACCCTCAGTGCAGTTTCAGGTCCCCAGTATCCGTAGTTATCCAAGCCACTGGGCCTTTGGCGATATAGGTTCTCTTCTCAGCATCTCCTGTTACAGATGCACACGTGTCCGTATGCTAATGCAAGCCCCCACATTCTCACTCATTAAGTTACCCGCTTTGAAGGATCTCGGGAGGCAAACTGAAAGCCTGAACATTTTAATTACAAGGTTTTGTGAAACCTGCTTTGTACTTGTGAAGCACCTGTTCGTTTAAGATCATTATATTGGTAGTACATATTCTGTATGCAGAAAGATTTGTAAGGCTTACATATCAAGCTTTACGTCTAGGGATTGAGATCAGACCTTTCTGGGTTCAAATCCTTGGCCTTGCCACTTACTAACTTCCTAATCTGGGACAAATGAACATCTTTGCATTTCAGTTTCACCTATTAAAAAAGGGATAAAATCTACCTAATCAGGTTGAGATTATCATGTAAGCTGCGTAGTACTTAAGTGTATGTAAGCACGTAGTGAATCCTCGATAAACATGTTATTACTACTTAAAAGTCCCTTTAAAATCTCTAACCCTGAAGATATAAACATAGGAAGCAAGGTCGCTGACCCAAGTGGATCAGAGGCGGCTTTTCTAAATGCCGTGTGGGACATGACAGTGACGCACCTGTACAAAGACCTGTTTAGTAGCGGTGTTTCAGAGTCTCATAGAAACCCTAGTTTTACTATTCCAGTTAGGAACAGTAGCACCTGTCTCAAATACAAGATTGAGCTCAGGGCAGATTTCAGATGGAGAAAGCGGATGCCTTTGTCTATTTCTCTTGGCAAAATAAAGCTGTTGTATTTTTATCTGCTACTTTTGCACAGCAAATTGCAGTAGGTGCTCTTCAGCTACAGTTTTGCTGGTGTATAGTCGGTTTAAATTATTTTTCACCTGGGTAAAATCCAGTGTAAATGAGGTTGATGATTTCAGAAACGTGGGGGGATCACTTGACTCCTTATTCATAGCCCGCATCCCGTCAGTCACCAGGTCTGTGGATACCTTCTAGGTGTTTTCTCATCAGTCCACTCTTCTCTGTCCCACTGCCACCAACCTTGCCTAAACTGACCTCGTTTGTTTTTTGAACAAGTTTCTGATGCTTCTGTTCTTACATATCGCTTTCCCTTCCCCAAGAACAACCCATTCTTCTCAAGGGCATGTGTCATAAGTTTTGTCATTGAGAGCCCATTAATACTTAACTTGTTTTGAAGATAAACTGGAATCCTTTTAGCAAGGTGCATAGGCCCACCTTGTTGAGTAGTAGTTCTGGAACTTGACATATAAAAATACCTCCACGACATGTAAAAGTCTAGGTTTAAAGACGTAGCCATTTCATTGTTCCTTGGGTTGTGTTCTAAGTTTGCCTCACTTTTTTCACTTAGTTTTTTTTTTTTTTTTAAACTTTGGCTGCTTCTAAGATTTTTATCTTTACCATAAAATTTGTGGAAATTATGTGTATTGTGCACTGGTATAGTTTTTGTCATGAGTGTTTTGTTTTTTCTTATTGAATCTATGGATTTATAACTTGCATGTTTTGTATTTTCACATTGTCAAGTGAGAAAAACACTGACATTCCTTAAAATAATTTTTTACATTGGGCCCCACTACATAGAACTTGAATTTACATGCATATTAAGCTGCTTACAGTTAACCTGCTCACTGGTGTTTTTCTAGTCTCCTTTATAATTTTGGAAGGTTTCCTTTGTTGTACCTTTAAGTAAGTTTGTTTAACGTTTTTCTTTCTTTTCTGAGGCCACATTTTCATGCTTTTACATGCTAATGATTTTGTATTTATGAAGTTTACATTTTGGGCATTAGGTCTTGTGTCTTTTTGTAATCATTTAAATGTTCTTGAGCTTTATTTGGAAAGCTTGCTTTCAAGCTTTGGTTAGGTGGGTCAGAGGGGTCTTAAGTTTGGGGCCGCTTTTCTGCACTGTGAAGCAGCAGATTTGTGTACTGAATCGTACCTGCTGCTTTATTGCCTGGGGCTTTTCATCTCCGGCTGTGGGAGCATGAGCTACTCCCAGCCCTGTGTGAAACTCATTTTCTGCCTCCTCCTGTTCTTGGCTGTTTGTGCCTTTGCTTGGGCTCATCAGGCTCAGCTGAGGCTTCCAAGGAGCCTCTCCGCAGCTCTCCCCTCTGTGTAGTGCATTTTCTTTGGTACTCTGCTCTGCCAATTCTAGCCACCCTGGCCCAAATGCTCAGTTCTGTCCTTTCAGCTCAGTAGACTGCTTGGTTCTGTTGGGTTTTCCTTTCCTACAGCAGTGTAGAAACTGCCTCAAAAGTCATCTGGGACAGTACCAAGGCTGCCTGTTTAACTCTACTGTCCTTTGTTGCTTGTTGCCCTCTAATATCCTTTAAAGATGCTTTTTCATTCTTTTTAAGGTGGGAAAGTAAATGTTTTCCCTACCCTAGTAACTACCAATAACTTTACCCAGCTGCTCAAAGCAAAGGCGCCAAAGTTTTTTTTTTGTTTGTATGTCTTTGAGAAAGGTCTTACCGTGTAGCTCTGGCTGGACTAAAACTTGTTTTTTTTGGTATTGGGGCTTGAACTCCGGACCTTAAGCTTTTGGAGCAGGGAGCGGAACCACTGAGCTAAATCCCCAGCCCATGGACTAAAACTTGTGTTCCTCCTACCTCAGCCTCCTGAGTGCTGAGATCACAGGCGTGCGTTACTACATGCAATTTTATTTTCATTTTTATTTATTTATATCAAACTCGGGTCCTTGCATTTGCAAGGCAGGCGGTGGAACCACTGAGCTAAATCCCTGGCCAACACGCAGTTTTAGTCTATGTGCTGCTGAGTGAGCAGCGGGCCACACGTTCACATAAGTTGTGTGTCCTTTGCCACTAGGTTAAGCCTGCTTCATGTGACCCCGAGTTACCGGTCCATGGCTGGCACACTCCCGTAGTTTCCGTATCGCCTACTACAGTCACTTCTCCCCGGCCACACAGGTCAGCCTAAAATATGGAAGCTTTCCTTAAAGCATTCCTATTCCAATCCTCCTCGGCTTTCCCAGGCCTTCCAGTGCCAGTTCTGCCTCCCTCTCAGACTTTTCTCTTCCTCGCCTGCTTGTGCATCCTCTCTTCATCCAACCGCTGTTCTGGAGAGCCAGTTCTCACTGTGCAAAGCGCGCCGCTTCCGCCTGCCCGGCGATGCCTCTCTGGGCGCTTTGCTGTCAGCTCCTTCAAGGAGCTTTCTCTGCTAACAGTTACCTGCATGGCACTGATCCGTGTGCAGTTCGGCCGGACCTCAAGTCTGTTACCATTCATGTGCTTCGTTCTGATAGGACGGAAGGGCTAGATCACCCGTGGTCCTCCTGCCTCACTTATCCCTGTACAAGAATTTCTAGGAACGTGTGCTTTTGATTCCCAGAAAAGGATGAATGATTAAACCAAGATGTGAAAACAGATAGGTTAAGCTAGTCATAATTTAATTGTAATAGTAATAACCATAAAAGTGTAAGAAAAATAGCTATTGCTTTAATTTTTAAATCTGCTGTTGTACTGTGGGAAATTACCCTCTTATAACTGCCATGGGGTATGCTCTACAAACTCCCTAAATATATAGACTGTGGCCCACATAAAGTTTGAAAAGTTGCATAACAATACCTAATTGGGATATGGTTTTCTTGACTTTCAGGGACATGTAGAAAAATTCTAAATACAAGGATGTCTTACAAAGTACAAGTTTATTGGTTTATATTTTTACTTTTGGTTCAAGGTGTTTAGAGGTAAGTGGACCTATGCACTGTAAAAATAAACTTCTTCCAAATTAAATTCATTTTTGAAATTTTTTTAGATCTACATACTTATTGTAGGTTATGGAGGTTTTGCTCTGAAATGTAGCATGTGATTTGGGAAGATCAAAAAGTAAATTCATTAAATTTTATGTATGCACTAACTAGCAATTTTAAGTAATCTTTTGCTTCTTGCAGTTACTGGTGTCCGTATTGAATGATGAAGTTTGAGTGTCCCAAATGTGCAGTAATTTTATACCTTTCCTGCAGAGTGTCTTGAGCCTATAAGCTGCCATAAGGTATTGCCCAAGGGAACAAATGGTTGTCCTTATACTAAGAACAACATGAACATTTGGATTTGCGAATTTGCTGATTTGCGAATTTGCTAATTGTTTGGCTTGCTTTAATGTTAATGTTCTAGACACATATCCACGGGATTCTCTGACATAGTTTAAGGCTAACTTGTAGCGTGTCTCTGTGTCTGTATTTCAATGTATAACTAAGAATGAGTCAGGGTTTCCTAATGGAATTCCATCTTGATGAGCCTTCACACTTCCTTCTTATACTTAATGCTGCTTGCGTAGCAACAGTGAAAACACATGCAAGTTAATGGAGATCCTAAACTAATTGAGCTAACTGAAGGTTGTAGACTTCGTGTAATAATTATGGCATGCTTTAAATAAGTCATATATTGCTGATAAACTCTAGCAGCAGAACCAGAAATTTTACCTGGATAAATAAAGACATTACTGTTTTGAAAAGACAGATGGTTTTTAGGCACTGGAGCATGATATAATCCTCCTACGGGCTGGAACATCACATATTGTGACGAGTCTGTCTGTACCAGTGTTCTTTAGCTCCAGGAGCACACTGTGGGATAAGTTCCAGTTTCAATAGGCAGACTCTCAATCTTAATACTCCTTGCTTTCTTAAAACCAACTCTGTGAATAGTGGACATATTGAACAGTCCCCATGGCTTTTATTTTTACATGAAAATAGCTTGTTTATGTCCTTTCTTCATAGCAAGATACTCTCATGTAAAAGTAAGCCAAGTGCTTTTTTAGTCTAGGACTCTGAAATAAAGAGTTGACCCCTTGTTTTTGTCGTTGTTGTTACAACAACTCAGGACCTTGCACTTGCAAAGCAGGCAGTGGAACTACTGAGCTAAATCCCTGGCCCAAGAGTTGACCCTTTGAATCCTGCAAGGATTGATGTAACTACGTTTGAAGACAGTGCTTTTGATCTCAGCCACCTAATCTTCCTGGTGAGACTTCGTAGTATCCCACAACTCTTCTGCCTCAGCAATCAACAGACAGCATTTCCACCCCAGCCCTGGGGGAACGGTCTTGCAGGTACTTCCTGTAGCTTTTGCTAGAACACAAGTTATACACAGGTTGCTTAGGAAACAGCCACATCTTCACTGGGGGGCCTGGGAACTAGGGACCAAGTTTTATATTTAGTGAGAATAAATGCAAGGTAGGTAGAAATTTATTTTTCTCAAAAGCCATTAAATTAACTGAGGTCTTCAAGTAGGTTAAGAATTAAACAGAATCAAGTCAAAACACCTTTTGGGATGGGTACCAGGGATAGAACTCAGGACCCTTGTACTTGTGAGGCAGGTGTGGTGCCACTGAGCCACACCCCCCACCCCCCACCCAAAACACTTCATTCTTGAAGTAAATAAAATAACAATGTTGTAAGAACAACACTGGACTGCCACAATCCAATGAAACAGAATTCTGTGACCTTGTGGTAATGGGACTTATGCTGTAGCAGTACAACTGTCTAGTTAGTGAATAGTAAGATAAACTTTCTTAAACTATTAGGTTAGGGAGGACAGATTTTTTTTAGTAGCAAATTATTTAAGAAAAATTTTCTTTACAGTGAAAGGTGAAAAATACATATATTTAATTCAGATCTCAACATATGTATAAAAGTCTCACTGGACAGGAAGATTTTAAGAATCTTCCTGAATGTAGGACTGTTACTAGGAGGGACAAAATCTTTTTTGAGAACTAGCTCCACAAGTCTAGCTTCACAGGTAGAAAGCAACATAAGCAAAGCCAAAAGTCAAAGAAATGCAGGTCATGAACTGTTTTTTTTAATATCTATATAAAAAATAACGAGCAATTTACAGATCTTTCTCTAATCAGAACCTTAAGTGTATATATAAAGGTACTGTACATATATAAACATTTACAACCAGTACATCCATGTTTTGCTCAGCATTCCAAGGCCACGTTGCTAAGTCAGTATATAATCAGTACAGTGACAGGTTGCTTAGGGGAGCCACGTCAGACAACATGACATCAAAGTTATGTCAGTGAATGATAAAAATAGGATTTGTATCACTAATTGTGGACTATAGGGAAAATAAATCATTTCTGTTACTAAATTGTTAGCAGTCAAGCCTCCTAATTTTTCTCTATTCAAGTAATTACAGTAGATGGGTGGGTCAGTCTCACTCTGGGAAGCATGTGCTGTCTACAGGGCTGGCACAGCTGTTGTAGGAATCTCACAGTCAGATGTGCGGAAGGATGGGCCTGGACAGAACGTTTCACAAGATGAACTCAGGGAGACAGCACAAATGTGTTTAAATACTCCATAAAATGCGCTTACGCTGCAAGTATGCCTTTATAGATGCTGCTGAATGCGGCTTCAGGGGTTTGTAAAACCTGGACCTATTTTCATGGAGTTAAAAACTATCTCTACCTTCCAGCGCACATCACTAGACTTTTAAAAAAGAACTCTGGGTACAAGCTAAGCAGGTGCTTAACCTCGCTCTGTTTTTCGGTAAGAAAGTTAGTGTAACTAGAAGTTAAAGACCCAGCACACACTGTCTACCATGTTCGTGCCGGGTAGGCCGCACCCAGGTTCTGCGCTAACACTGGGCTCCTGCATCTGCCGCGTGAGCTGGTTCTGTATCTGGCAATGGACTGGGAAAATGGTTTCGTGATTAAGTCCCTCACCCAATCTATAATCTGACTCTTCAAAAATGTATTTTCTATTAAAGACAGATGATTTTAGGATTAGATGCAATCCAAATATCCAAAAATAGGTAAGTGGCAGTTTCTCTCTAAAGAACAGTAAGCAGCACTTCTGCAAGCTGCTTTGTGGTTTCGTAATGAGAAAGGGTGACCCAGGATTCAGTAATTCTCGTTTTGAACACTCGGTTGTAGGATCTGTAACAGTTATTTGAAACACCTTATCCAGCCAAATTAAAAAAAAAAAAAAAAGCTTAAAGCATAAGTATTTGACCTTTTGCTTTACATCAGTGATGCTTGGGAGTTTCACTTTTAAACTGGGACTTATCAGTAGCTGTTAGTTTGAATGATAAGCGAACAATCTCTTGTGCAGGACTCAAATATTTCTCTCCGTGAACATGCAACATGCTATTGAGAACACCAACTTCCAAGCCAAACCTGTTTCATTACTGTGGAAATATCTGAATGAGAAGGAAAACAGACATTAGACAGCAGATAACGGCACAAATACGAAGTGAGTCTGGACCACAGTTAGCATCAACGTGTCACTTGTCAGACAGCCACGGAGACGAGCAGGCAGGAGCATGTGGGGACACAGCTCCTTCCTGAGTGGAAGGAAGGCGGCCAGCCAGGGGTGGTTGGTTCTCAGCAGTCCTAAAGGCTGGCCCTTCATGCAGCCTAGAAACTTGTTGTGCAAATTAAAAGGTTCTTAGGTGTTTCAGAATTTCTGAAAAAAAAAAAGATTTTCTGGGAAAATGCTGCTTTTAGTAAAAGATTACAACTTGTTTTTGTTTTATGCTAAAGGTCACAACCGTTTCTCAGCCATGCCAGTCGTGCCTGTGACTTTATTTGCACTCGGCACCTTCCAGGGCCCTGGAATTATTGGTGCTTTTTTAACTGGAGAGCTACTCTCAGGTTTGAACCTTCCCCTCTCTCTACATTTGTCAGTTGTCTCTAGTTCTTTCCCTCTGTGATCTTCTACTTTATTTAACTCCATCCTCTCTTCAGGTTCCTGTTTCAGCTTCTTTTCTGATATTTGGACATTCACTATTTTATCTTTACTGGGACGTGTTTCTCCTGTGGTGGTTTTCTTTCCTTTTTCACTTTCGGACACTACTCTACCAGCAGTGTTGCTGGTCTTCTTGGAGGCAACAGCTTTTTCATCCATTCTCTTGCTTTTTTTCTCTGGAGACCTTGCTCTATCTTTTCCTAACTGACGCTGCTTCAGATTTTTGCTGATCACACCTGGTCTTTCTTTCCCGTCCGGGAGCTGTTCGGCATTGTCACTAGCAGGGCCTGCTACTCTGAGACTCTCACCCTCAAGTAATTTGGCTTCAGCATTTGACAAGTCTTCTTTGCTTCCTTCGATTTTTTGCTTCCTCTTTGGGCTAGAAGAGCGTCCTCTGCCTTTTCTATACTGATCTTGGCCAGAGCCTGCCCTGGTGTCAATCTGACACCTTTTCCTAGGGCTGAGAGATCTATCTCTGGGTCTTCTTTTGGGGTCGTTTTTTAGAGGACTGGGAGTGTTTTCCAGATGTTCCTCTGAGTAGTGGTGAGCTGGCTTTTGGGGACTAGCCGATCTCTGTGTAACACCATTTTCTACTCTTAGATTTTTCTTGTCACTGTGCCCATGACTGTTGGGTGGATCTTTCTTATTCACATTTTTCTGGAGAAGAGACTGATGCTTTATCTCAGGCTGATTTTCATTTAAAGTGCTTTTCTTTTCAGGTACAGTGTCCTTTAATTCTTCTGCCTTTTCACATATCTGAACTCTCATTAGAGAATCTTCAGTTACTGGCACACGAGACTCTTCAAATATGGAAGCAGAATATGAAGACGGGGAAAGTGGTGACTGCTCATCATAAATCACATCAGAAGGTGAAGGATTATTAATATCCCAATCACCTAAAAAGTGATTTGAGTGGAACATCATTACATTTTAGAATTATAAATAGGAACCATAGTTTTGAACTTTGACAGCCATTTGAATTGTTCTGTTTAAACAGCCTGAGTATGTTACAGTTTATACATGTTTACGTATCTCTGGAAAGGCAGATGTTTATAGACATCTGTACATACTTGAAGGGTAGACTTTTTGGTACATAATGCTTCATTTTTATAATTATGTATATTTAGTGAGACAGTATGTAATCTGTAAGTTCTTAATTAGTAAAGCCCAATCAGAAGCATATAAATAATAAAACTGGACCAAATTACCTAGTCCATGAGGCTAATGAAGGTGTGGTCAATGGATATATCAAGATATATCAAAATCACTAATAAAGGAGACCAAACTGTGGTAACCAGAATGAGGCTCATGGGCATTTATAAATAAATTTCTTGCATAAAGCTGTCCAATTTAATGTCAAAAGGAAACTGAAAAGTGCAGAAGATAGAAATGGATGTATTTAATAGCATCATTTTTTAATTAAAAAGAAAACGAAGGAAGTGATTTATAAGACATGCAAATTTACCAAGTCTTTTTAAGGAAAGACCAAGAAAAGCCCTGAAAGCCTTAATGTTGCTCAGGTTTCACGTAGGAGCACAGACCGGAAGGAGCCAAACCTGAAGAAGGAAGAGAAAAAGCCTAGGACTATATGAAAAAAAAATCAGTGCAGTTAGCAAAGATGTCACTGGGATGTATGATTTACAAGCAGATGGTGGAAGATAATACAGTCAGAGAATCATAAGCTGCAAGGGGACTGTAGGAGGTGCTATCTACGCTCATCGTATAGAAAATCTGTGATGGGCTTGGGGACACCAGAGGAGACGGGACGGAGTGGGTGTGGCTCTGCGTTACTCTTAGGCTGATGCATTTAAAACACAGTGATTTCCAAGCATGGTGAAAGTTCAAAAACATACAGTGAAACCAAGAAAGTTTAAGACCAGTCCAGGAGCACAGACATGGTCTCAGGTCCAGCTTTGTAGCTCTAGGTAGGGCTGTAGCAACTTTTGACAAGTGACCAGAAAAGCTGAACATTCTTAGGGTGTTAACTCATTAAGAAACAAACACCTTACTGTAAGGAAATAAGTAACATTTGTTGATAATATGTATTTAACCAGGGATGGGAGAAAGCTCACTGTTTTTTATGTGATTTAAATTGCCTCTAATGTTCTTATTCCTTATAGGCACACTTCTCTATAAAAGCATTTTATGCTTTCTGATGAAATCAAAATATATTCTATTCCAACAAATGGAAGTCAGTGCTTTTGATGATTCTGGTGTTCATGTCTGAATTAGCTAGTAAAATATCCAAACAGATATTCCTTTCCTTCTGCTGCCCGCCCCCTAACACACAACCTTTTAGCTACCAGTAGATTTTTAGCAACTTTACTTACCATGGTCAGGTATCAAGCCAGTTCCTGGCCTCAGAAGAAGAAGAACTTTATTCCCACCGGCCTGAATGAGCTCAATTGCTCGAGTATGTGTGATGCCTTGTGTAGGTTCCCCATTGATTTCAACAATCTGGTCACCAACCTAGACAGGGAACATACACAGGAACAAAATGAGGGCTGGGGATTTAGCTCAGTGGTTCCACCTCCTGCCTCTTGCAAGCGAAGGGACCTGAGTTCGATCCCTGGTACCCAAAAAAAAAAAAAAAAAAAAAAAAAAAAAAAAAAA